ATAAGCCGACCCTTCCGGCGCTATTAAAAAATAATGCACGGCACGCAGGCCGGGAGGTCATTGCTACTCTAGCTGCACTGTCACCCGGTCAGCCTCAGCCTGGTTCCCTTCCGGATGAGCTGGGTCGGTGGTGGGAACGGAGCAGGGAGCAACCTCATCCTCGACTACCTCCTCATTGCCATCCGCCTCCGCCTGCATTCGCTGGAACTTGGCATCAACCCATTGCTCATAGGGTCCAGGCCCCGGCTTGCCCTCCTCCTCAGCCAGAATGGCAAGATCTGCGTATTTGTAGGCGAGCTCCCAGACGTTGTAGTATGTACCCGGGTGGATAATGGAGAACGCCTTCTTCATCCGGTTTTCGTAGTCCTGCTCATTCTCCTCAATGAGCCGGCTCTGATCAGCTTCAAGAGTGGCCTGGAAGTTGCTCTGTGCAGAAGCTGCCTCCTTGACCAGGCGGTCATTTTCCTTTTTCAGGCGCACATTGTTCTTCTTCGCCTGATCAAGCCGCTTGAGGGGCTCCTCGTGTTTCTTAAGCTCATCCTCAACATTGTCCAGGGTCGCCTGGAGATTGTCCACTGTGAGCTTGGACTCTTTGAGGGCCTGTTGGAGGGTCTTGACCTGATTCGCCTGTTGCATGATTATAGATTTAGTTTCTAAGTCATGCACAATCATTGAATAGTGGGCAACGCTATGTGCGTCATCCGCAGAACGTTTGGCTCTTCTTACCTCCTCTTGCTTGCGGATATAGGCCTTCTTGAGCCCCTCCACGCGGAGCAGTGCCTGCAACAACACAGCCGATATTAGTAGAAAAACCGGATGAGCATACTACAAATAAAATGCCAGGTGGGTACTCATCAACTTACATCGGCCAGGTCGACCATTACACGGTCGGCATTGAAGGTATTGATTCCAGGAATCGCCTCCTTCTCGTCTCGGGGGACGGCTTTCAGCATGGCCCGGGCGTACTGAGCAGCATCCGGCCAGCGTGGAGAACTATCTGCACCAGAAACAGACGGTGAGAAAGCTGCATATGCTCCGCCTACGGACAGCTTGCTGATCGGTGAATCTCCCGGCTGAGACTGAGAATATGACTTAACCCGCATGGGTAGGTCAAGCAGCGTGAGGTTGAAGGGGTTTGTACCTTGTTGGGAAGCCCTCTGGCCCCCGGCAGAAGATGGACCGGTTGTGGTCCTTATTAGAGAGACCTCTTTCGAGGCCGTTTCAGCATTAGACCCGCCTAGGGTCTTTATTGATTTACCGCCGGTAGTAGCCCGGGCGGTGGAAGCGGTTTTCTGCATCTTATGTGCAGGTTCCTCAACAGACGACCGTTGCCGGATTTGGTTTTTTGCAGAGAGCGAGGGATATTGCCCCCTTCCTGAAACGAAGTCACAAACGGTCAGGTGAAGAAATAGCCAAAATAGCACCGTGACAAGCAAATAAAAAAGGGTCAGGCGGTCTTACCTTTTTAGCCGCCTGAGCGGCAAGCTGATTCTCCAGATTCTCCTTTCGGATATCTGAAGCTTTCTTGGCGGGTGTCTTGGCGGTGGGCAACATGATCTTTGCTTCTTCTGCAAAACGCAAATACATCCGGTCAGGATCATAATAATATCGCACATTGCAATCAAAAGAAAAGTGTTAGCCGGCACAAAATTAATCGGCTGAGACTCGTAACCTACGTCTTTCAAACATGCTGCTAAGCCCGCATGCGGACAAGAAGCACTCGTCCTTAAAGAATTCATGTTTGGGCACCCAGTTTTTGGGCACCCTTATTATCTCTCCGGTTGAGAGAGTGGAAGAGGTTAGTTCAAAAAATCCGGAGTCCAATATGGCCTCCCTGTCATTATCCGGCACTAGGGGCAGCCGACACTTCTGCCCCAAAAGCTCTGGCTTCCGGTTGTAGGTCCGGAACTCCCTGTTCTCCTCTTCAGTAGGAGCTTTGACCAGATAAAACCGGGTCTTCCAGTCCGACCATTTAGACGGCTTATCCAGCGTCATCATGTATTGGGGATAAGTCGTCAAGGTGTACCAGGCTCTCCAGCCGCCTGGACTTCTACTTAAATAATGCATTTGGGCAAACGCCTCCCAGCCGGGGTTGAGATCCTGTATCTCACAGGTGGCGATATACCCTAGAATGTTCACCCAAGAATTAGGGGTGATTTTCCAGACGCCTAGGCCATATCCCCTAAGTATGGCCTTTATCGTTGGGTTGGTCGTCCTCCCATACAACTGTCCCGTACTCTCCCGGTACTGACAGCTTGTAACCTTCTCCAAGCGGCCGCTTGGTGATGAAGTCTGTTAGGGAAGACTGCATGAGGGCCCTGTCTTTAAGAGACACGACAATCATGAGAGGGTCGTGTCTACTTTTCCATGTAGGCCTCTCCGCCTCCTCGCTATCTTCTGACTCGGTCAAGTAGCTAGAGCTGCTACTTTCGGTGCGACCGGCATCTGAGCCGGATGGGGAGTTGGGATCCTCGTTGACGGATCCTGGCAGCTCAGCCTCCTGAGCAGGGGAAGACTCCTCGTTGTAGGAGCCTAGGATGTTATCGCTTGGGGTGGCGGAAATGCCACCGGATGGTTCTCTAGCCACCTCGTCCGGGGCTTGTCTCTCAGGCGATAACTCGTTTGAGTTCCCAGCTCTGTAATTGGGGTCCATAGTTGTTCCCCTAATTCTGGCCATCGTGTCCTGCACAGACACGGAGTCGGTCGATATAGGCGTTGAAAAGGGGAAATTCCAAAGATCAGAGGCGGCAAATCCAGTTCTAGACTCAGCCGTACTAATTGACCGGCTGAGTTCACAACTATGTTCCGAGTATGGGTATAAAGGGTTGATCTACCTATGGGAATAATAAATAAAAATAAAAGCAAAAGACGGAAACGAAAATACATGGAAAAGCGAGAAGGAATAGAGACGGTACCTAGAGGAACGGAGAATTTGCTGAAACCTCAAGAAATTTCTTGGGGATGCTTGCAAAGACACAGACGGTCTGAAAACCGGCTGGGTTCTCTTGGGTACCCTCACAAAAAACCTTTACTTGCTCGTTACCTTACAGGCGGTCTGAAAACTGGCTGCTCTCAACTACCAGATTTCCGTCTGCTCTTAACTCTCAAATACCGGATGCTATCAAAATTCAAGAAAATTCGCGAAGTTTGTAAATGAGCTCTCGAGGGTGTCTCCTCCTACTTATAAGGGTTGCCTCAGAAGGCGAAGGGTCGCGACCTTTCCCCTTCTGCTTTTCCCTCCTCTTCTTTCAGTTAGAACCTGAAGAGGTTTCAAAAAAAAAAAATGTTTGCGTCAGCGCTCTTCTCAGGCGCCACGTGGCACCCTGCCACGTCAGCACCTGAGAGGGGCAAATGTTTGGGGTAAAAAAACCCAAGCCACGTGGCCCTATGGCTAAGCGACACGTGGCACCCAGCCATTGGTCAGCAGGGCTCCAATCCCCTGCTGACACGTGTCCCATGAACCCTAAATGGGGAACCAAGGCTCCCCACTATAAATATTGGGGAGATCCTCATTAATGGGCATTCATTCAAGACCATTAAATTCAATACAAGCCATTCAATACACTCTTACACCAAAATCGAGCAATATTAATTGCGGAATTCTCCCATTACGTGAGAAGTAACTTCACTATTTTACATTATTTTCCTCCTGTACGTAACTGACTTGTTCGTCGGAGGCGGAGCTCCGACCAACTGGAGACTTCGTGGTTTTGCAGGTACAGGCGGTGAAAGGCATTCTCGGAATTGTAACTCTCCCGTAGGACACATCAGAAAACCCCAAAACACATTGTATTAGTAAAAAGAACAATGTAACTTAACAAAAAGAACATTTAACCTCAACAAAAAAAAACATGTCAAATATTATAAAGAACATAAGGCATAAATTACCATAGTCGTAGTCTGAGCCTTTGTCTCATTTTTTAAACCCCTTTCGTATTTTTCTTATTCCATGACTTAATCTTTTGACCCTTGAGCTTGTTGCAAATCTTTTCTCGGGTGCTCTTCAATCTGGTGTTTTTTTTGTCCCTTTTTCCTCTTTTGGATAGGATCTTTGACTTCAATATCAACTGTAGGTTCTGCTTCCACAACATCCTCTTTTTTAGGAACTTGTTCTTCAAAATTTTGTGGTTCTAAAAGGTTGTCTTCACCTTTATCTAGAGCAACATCATGTTGATCAGTTATCAAGGATTCTTGAAGTTCATCTTTATCTTTTATCAGTAAAAGATTGATCCTATTAGAACACTCATCAATTGCTTCCTCAATGACTATTCGAGCACCTAAGTCATTTTGTGCCCGATCGACAAGTCCAATAAAAGTTCGAATAAAATGCAATCTCCATACACTTGAAGGTGTGACACCCTTTTCAGCAACAACATTATCATTAACCCTTGTGCACATAGCACCTTTTGTCCATCTCTTAAAATGTACCTCTTAGGTATATAAGTAACATTGTTTAAGTGTAGGACATGAAGTGAGTGCTTGCATAGTAAACCGACCTCACCAAAATACTTACAAGTACAGTTAACTGTGACAGTTGATTCATCAAACGCAACTGTATGCATAAGCAAATATTTTTTGGGATGCCCCACGTGATATTCATAAAGAGGAGGTTTCATTCCTATGACCTTAGCTGTGCAAGGAACACCACTCACAAAATTATCTTCAAAATGTAAATAAATTTGGATTGTATAAATCCTCCTTGCATGCTCCAAAATCCCAATATCTACCCATACTAGATGTCGGTTACTAGTTAAACTATCATAATCATTACTACCTTCTTTGCTCCTCCACTCATCCACAACCTCAATAAAAGTAGTGTAGAAATCACAAAGAACATGAGTAGCATGAAGTCTACGAGAAACTGACTTGTTAGTGGTTACACTTCTCTGAGATGACATAACACCACCACTGAAATAATCTTTGGAATATACAGGACACCACATCTCTGATCTCTTATATGATACAGATTTTGAAGCCATTTGTTATCTGTGCATTTGTACTTATTCAGTATGCTGCAAAAGAACATTAAAGATTACACAAAGAACATTATTGTTAAATAAAAGAACATATATAAATAAATTAAGAAAAAATCCAAATATAAGTATAATGTATTAAGAACAACATGTATTATCTAAAAAAAGATCATTGTTGTTATAAAAAAGAACATATTAAACATTCTTGTCATGCCAAAAAATGTTATGTTAAAATAACACAAAGAACTTTATTTTTTTATAAAAAGAATATTGTTGTTATAAAAAAGAATATGTTGAGGTATAAAAAAAAGAACATAGTTAAATATAAAAAACACATAATATTACCTTGACCAATAATGCTCAAATTCTTGAATAGTATGTGTGTATTTCAAAACAATATCAGAGAAATCGTTAAAACCTTCCTTGGCCTTTAGTCCTTTGATATTTTTTCTTTGCATTATCCCTAATATGTCAAGTACATAAACGATGTCGGGAATTTAGAAAAACAATCCTTATTGCTTTGGCCATTGCTTGAGCTTGGTCAGTCATTATTGTCACTGGTTGTTTTCCCCCTATAGATTTCAGAAAAGTGGTAAACAACCACATAAAAGACTCCCATTTTTCATTGGTAAAAAATCCAATACCAAACATAACATTATTATTATGATGGTTTAGGCCAACAAAAGGATCACATATCATACCATATTTGTTTATATGAAATGTCGTATCGTGAACCAACAAGTCTCCAAAGGTATCATAATCTACCTTCATTCTATTATCACGAAAGAAGAAAGATTGCAAATGACCTTTCTCATCAACATCAAAATCATAATAGAAGTCATATTCATTGCATTTCCTCTCCTTAGAGTAGCTAAGAAGTCGCTTTGCATCACATCCATCAAACTGCATTTTCTTATGGGGAAATATAGCACCATATGCATCCCTACAAAGAAAACTAAGATTTACCTCACCATCAGCTTATGTTTTAAAACGCGCACTACATCAGCAATAGGTATACTACTCTCAATCAAACTGCTAAGCATGACAATTTGTTCCTTACTGACCTGTATCAAAAAGAACATATTACTTACAAAAGAAAACATAATGTTATTAGCAAAGAACATATGAAGTTATTTGCATTGAAAAAGAACAAAGATAAAATGTTCCTTTACCTTCCTATGAGACCTAATCAAATGTCTCTTTGAAACAAGAACCCTACTGTGATTATGATCCATAATGTGATTGACCACGATAAACAAACTAGAATTCTTATCAACATCAAATTGAATATAAGCCTTGCAACCTGTGCAAAAATTCCTCTTTTGGTAAACTTTTGGTTTTTCACCAGGTTTCTTCTCTTGTTTAAAGCCAGCAAAAGAACATACAAAAAAGCGTTTTCGAATTGTAACTTTGTCTTCTCTACGATTCAACTTATCCTTACGTATACCAAAATCGTGTTTAAAGGCATAACTATTATACAACTCATAAGCCTCTTCATTAGACTTAACATTTTCGTCAAACAATTTTGATTCACTTGCCTCAGTAAAACCTGAAATAGTAGATCAATATATGTATTTGTTAAGATCAAAATATGGTTTTTTTTTATTTTTTATTTTTTTTTACAAAAGCATGTTCTTTAATACATCAATAATGTTCTTTAATATATACACATTGATTTCAGCACATTGATTTTAGCAAAGTATATAAAGAGTACAACAAAGTACATATATATTTAGCAAATGTATAGGTGTAATATCAACATTGATTTCAACAACTTGATTTCAGCAAAGTACATAAAGAGTAAAACAAAGTACATATATATTTAGCAAATGTACATGCATTTTTCATATAATATCAACATTAATTTCAGCACTAATAAATATAATAGTTAAATAAAAGAACATAACTAAATAATAATATAACTTCATCTCCAACCTTAAACATATTGCTGTAAAAATAAATATATATTTATAAATCCAATAATAATATTTAAATCATCAATAATACCTAAATTTAATAATAAAAAAATAAGAATTAACAAATGAAAAGATAATCGATTAAACAATTTACCTTCATTTTCGTTTACGATATCCTCGAATTCACCTTCATTGTTGATATCATCATCATCATCATCATGGTGAAATTCGGATTGATAAACCATTATTAACTTGTGCCTACGTGATATACACGTTTTATACATATGTTTTTCCCAACTTTTCACTACATTATTGTATAGTTTTAGGCTCTTTAGAGCCACTTTCTGCTAACATTATTTTCTCTAGTGTGTTCGATGCATTTTCATAAGTTTTACAAGAACTTGGAGTTTCCCGGATGATTCGGACACGTTTTGAGCAATATTGGAGATGTTGGTGAACAAGGATGTAAAACCGAACTGAACAAGAATCGATCCTTGAAGAACAAGAAGCGAAAAGCAGATTTTATAAGTGTGCCCGATCGGGCTTCGCATGCCCGGTCTGATCGGGCATACAAGGGAGTGTTGGCTGACGCCAATGTTGAAGCAAAGAAGCTATTCTAAGCTCTTATGCCATGCGCCCGATCAGGCAGGCCTCGCCCAGTTGGACCGGGCGTGTGGAGGTTGGAGGAGTTCAAGATTATGAAGATCAGCAAGGCAGCCAAGGTATACGTTGTGCCTCGCACCCGATCGGGCGCTACCTGCCCGGTTGGATCGGGCGTAGAGGAAGTTCAGAGAAGAAAGCAGCGCTGTTGTTTATACCATGTGCCCGATCGGGCATGTCAATCCCGGTCAAATCGGGCACAGTTGTGCGCAACTCTGAATTCCAATTTTATTATTTTTAGGTCATTAAGGGTATAAATACCCAGTGTAATTTTCATGAGGGGATTATTCAGATTTTTCTTAAGTCCTCTTTCTCTCTCTAGAACTTTAGTTTTATTCCTTTTAGAAATTTAACTCTTAGGTTAGATTTGGGTATTGTTGATTAACAATTTGAGTAATTTCAATTAAAGCATCATTGATATTCATCTCTATTCCTTTCTCTTTCAATTATTAATGCTTTTCAATCATGTTTTCTATAATTATGATTATTATTGCTTTCTTCAATATGTGTGAGTAGATTTCTTATTCCAAGATCTAGGGTAGCCCAATTATGATTGATGCATGAATTAATTCTTTAAATTCTCTAATAACCATTGTAATTGTCTATGCTAAATTGATTGTGATTATGCCAATGCTATATTAGAGATAATTAGTATTGTTATTATTCCATTGTTTCTATCACAACGAGAGTTGGATTGTAACGGAATTGAGTAAATTGATTTAGGATTTGAAATTCAACATGAGAATAGTTGAACGGATAATTGGGAATTGAAGTAAAGTGTTTAATATCTCTAATTTGCATGATACCATGAGAATAGGCTTGATTGTGGGTTAGGGAAGCCATTGATACTCAAGAGAGGTCCTTGGTATTGGTTAGGGTTTGCTTTTCCCCGTGTTAATTGGAGTTGTATGTTAGGGGTAGATATATAATTGCATCGATCGTAATTGTGGTGATACTTGATCTTGGATGTTTAGCTTATTGATTTATTATATTCTTTGATTTATTCTAAGTTTTTCCATACTTTAGCTCTTAGTTTATTCCATCATTGATTGATTTTTGCTTAGTGATTACTTGAGTCTAGATAGTTTAGGTGAACCTTAGTCTCTTGGGATTCGACCCTAACTTGCCCGACTACATATTTAGGAGGAATAGTTAGGTTATTTTTGTTAGGTACGCGACATGCCTATCAAATTTTGGCGCCGTTGCCGGGGACTAACGGTTTCATTTGATTATTTGTGATTCGTTTTTGCTAAGCTTTATTCGTTGCTTTGGCTATTTTCTCTTGTGTTTTTGATATTCTTTCTCTAGTTTTCTTGTTGCATGCCCACACGACGCTCAAGGTCAAAAGATCTTGAACCATTTGACTCTGAGATCGAGGCAACTATAAGGAGAAGGAGAACAAGGAATCGACGTAGGAGAAACATGGAAGATGCTACGAAATCCCTTTGGGAGTACGGTATTCCTGATACGACTACCGGACTCCTATCTAGCACTGTCAGGCCACCTGTGACGGCTCAACACTTCGAGATTAAGCCCCAATTCATTCAATTTATCTCCAATGATTCATTCACAAGCCTACCGCATGATTGTCCGGTAAGTCATATTGATAGTTTTCTAGAGAAATGTGACACAATGAAAATGAATGGTGTAACAAATGATGCTATTAGACTTCGCCTTTTCCCCTTCTCATTGTGGGATAGGGCAAAGGAGTGGTTGAGGGATATGATAAGTGGCTTTTATGCCACTATTCGGGATCCTTTTTCCTATCAATTCCCTCCATTTATCGCTTTTTTAGCCCTATTTTGCCGTGCTTCTCCATATATTGCACAACAATGCTATTTCCCTTGTACTTCCCCTCTACTTTACCTTTTTGTGCTGTTTTTGGGTGTTTTCCTGTGTTTTGCAGGTAAACCAATCGATACGTGAAGTAGAAGAAAGTTCGGGATAGTTTCGAGAGCCGGTTTCAATAGCAAATCAAGCAAGGAGCTTTAATCAGGCTGTGCGCCCAGGAGAGCCCTCTCTCCCGCTTTGTGCGGGCGCGCAACCCAAGGGAGAGGGTGCGCACTCAAGGCCAAATCAGGATGTAAACCTCGTAGATGCCTCGCGCCCTAGAGAGGGCGCGCTATTCATCCTGGGCGGGCACGATAATTCTTGGAGAGGGCGCGCTACTCATCTTGCGCGGGCGTGATGATTCTTGAAGAGGGCGCGCAGATTAGCTTGAACTCTTGAAGAAAGAAGGCAACTTTTTGTAGATGCTAAGCGCGCTCAGTAGAGGGCGCGCAGTATACTTCGCGGGCGCGCAGATATTAGTAGAGGGCACGCACACAGAAGTTCGCGGGCGCGCAGCCTTAAGTAGAGGGCGCGCACATCATCCTGCGCGGGCGCGCAAAGAACTGTAGTGGGCGCGCACGCCGTCAGCCCAGCCCGTTTTTATTTTCCTACTTAAAAGCTGAATTTAAAAGGGAATGAAGGCGGCTATTCCATTTAGGGTAATATGCTTAGAACATTTCTAGAGAGAGAATAGCCTCCATTGATGCTTGTATAAGTTTTTAGAGAGAGAAAATTCAGATTCTTAGTCTTTTATCACCTAAACTTTAATCTTTAATCTAGATTAGTGCTTTATTCATACTTGTAATCAATATTGGAGCAATCTATTGGATTTTTGATGGTTCACCATTAAAGGTTCAAAGACCCATTTTCTTATTTCAATACAAGATTGAAGCTTTGTGAGCTCTTTCTATCTTAATCCCTTTTATTTTGGTTTATTTACATATTTCAAGTATTTTTGATTGTTATGTTGATGGTTTTGATTATGGCCAATTTTTTGGGTATTGTTGATATGAGTAGTTTCTCTCTCATAGGCTAGACTTTTAGCTAGGGGAAGGGGAATGGATGACTTGGTTGCTATTTGATTAAATACTTGATTTTTGGGGATTTAAACCCTTGTTGTATGAACTTGTGCTTATTGTTATATGGTTGATGATGTGCACCATTGACTATATTATTACATGTCCTAATTGATGCGCGGGAGTGATCATGTTAGGATAGAACGTGGTTTATACATCGCTTAATCAATTGCATGGGAATGAATTGTGTTAAGTAGGATCCTTGCTCCCTTGGTTGCGAATCCTTGATTATCCATGTGTTTAGATCTTAATCTCCAAGTTTGATGTTCCCCGATCCCCCTAGTGTTTTTAATCTCATAGTTTCCAATACTTGTTAGTCTTTGTTAATTGTTAGAGTAATTTTGGTAGCCTTAGTTTATTTATTGTCTTGTTTTCCACCACTCTTATTCATATACACCCCTTTTAAAACTCTATTGTTAGCACTTAGCGTTGCAATCTCCCGTTTCTCCGTGGATCTCAACCCTTGCTTGCCTCTATACTCATTTAGGTAATCTAGGATTAATTTGATAGGAAAGTGTATTGACGACGGCATTTCGTTCCTCATCAAATTTTGGCGTCGTTGCCGGGGAAACGGTCAATTTTGTTTTGCTTTTGTGTTATTTTAGAGTTTTATTTTCTTTTGTTTTTGTCCATTTGATTGTGCTAGTCATTTCTAATCGTTTTCTTAGCTTTGGTGGATGCAAAGGAGATCTCAGGGACCACCTTCTCACTACATTGATCACGAAATAGACCGTACCTTGAGACAAGTCCGTAGACTTTATCAAGAAGAAGGAAGAGGTTTTGGAGCTATTTTTGATAGTGAGAGTGATTCTTACTCTTCACACTCTCAAGGCGAAGAAATGGCTGGGCAACAAGCGGACGTTTTATTTCGTGAGTTCGGTAATCCGGAGGATTATAAGCTCACCGGTGGGATATTGCTACCCGCCACGGAAACTAACTTCACCATCCATCCTTAATATACAAGAATGGTACAAGCGGAGCAATTTTCGGGTTCTCCAAGTGAAGACCCCATTGAGCATCTTGATAGATTTCTTGAGCTTTGTGCCATGATACAAACCAACCAAGTTTCTTAAGAATACATTCGGATGCACCTATTCCGACAGTCTCTTGCAGGGAGGGCAAAGAAGTGGCTCAAGCAAGTCAAGCCTAATTCTCTCACAACATGGAGGGAAATTGTCCAAGCATTCTTGAAAAGGTTCATCTCCGAAGAGAAAACCGCCGACATGAGGAGGAAGATTGCATCTTTTGAACAAGAGGCGGAGGAAAGCCTTATTGAAGCTTGGGAGAGGTTTAAAGAGTTGGTGCAAGCATGTCCTCACCATGAATACAATCAAAGCTTACTCATAAGATTCTTCTACGATGGATTGGAGCCAATGTCTAGAGCCAACTTGGACGCGGGGGCGAGTGGCCAATTGATCAAAGTCCCTCAAAACCAAGTTGAAGCAACAATTGAAGAGGTGGTGAAGAACTATTCTTGGGGAAGTAGAAGGAGGAATGCACCTAGAAAGGGTGGAAAGTATGAGTTGGAGAAGGTTGATCAATTACAACATCAAATTGAGACGTTGACAAAAGGGCTTGCAAAGTTGAATACAAATATCGATAGTGGTGCAAGCTCCTCCCAAGTTAACTCTTTCTCTTGTCAAAATTGTGGTGGTACAACCCACGATACATCTTATTGT